TTATCCTTGCTATCTTGAATTTATGAAAACAAGACCAAACGATCATGTACTGACATACCAAGAATGGTTTAAAATGTTATGGTATAAAGGTTTATTTACTTATTACCGTGAAGACCTTCATCTTTCTGAAGATGAAATCCAACAACAAGTGAATAGTTCACGACAATACACTTTAACACATGAACCAGCACATTTCTTTCCTGGTTTTATTGAAATGTTAAAAGAGTTTAGAAAATTGGGAGGAATTATTGGAGTAGTGTCATTTTCTGATGAACAAAATATATTAAGACATTACCGTTCTGAAACAAATGGAGAATTTGTTCCTGATATTGTTTATGGATGGAATAAAGAAGCTCCTGAGAAATGTAAACCATATGCATTTCCTGTTCTTGATGTTCTTGAGAAATACCATTTAGAAAAAAAAGATATTTTAGTAGTTGATGATTTGCTTCCAGGTTTAGAAATGGCAGAAAATGCTGGAGTTAAAAAAGCTGGTGCATTGTATGGAAAAGGACATGAATTTCTTAAAGAAGAAATGGAAGAACATTGTGATTTCTTATGTGAAACAGTAACTGATTTAAAGAACCTTATTATTAAATCTAACACAGAAGAATAATTAATTAATTGTTATGTTCTTTCAATTAGTAAGTTGGAGTATTTTCAATAATCCATTTTTGAGTTAATTCATCTTTGATTTGAGGTAAAATTTTTGATCTAATAGAAGCATTAAATTTATTTAACCATATTTTTTCTTCTTTTGTTAATAATGAAATGTCTATTAATCGACTACAATAAGGAACTAATGTAAAAGGTTCAAATTTTAAATGGTTTTGATCTTCTTCAACAACAACAACTACATTTTCAATTCTTATTCCAAATTCATTTTCAATATAAATTCCTGGTTCAATACTTGTTGTCATACCAACTTGAAATGGAAAATCATTTCTAAAATGAGGTGGACATTCATGAACAAGTAAATAATATCCAACCCCATGTCCTGTTCCATGTCTATAATCCCATTGAGGATTTCCTGCAATAATTGGGTCTCGTGCAAAATGGTCTAAATCTTTTATTTTAGTATCTTTTGTAAAGATTTTATTATGAAGATCAATATGTCCTTGTAAAACTCTAGTATAACATTCTTTCACTTTAGAATCAGGTTCTCCATAATGGACAGTTCTTGTTACATCAGTAGTACATCCCTCTTTATATTGAGAACCAATATCACATAATAATGATTTATTCCAATCAATAATACTACTTTTTTCTTTTGTTGGTTCGTAGTGAACTATAGCAGCATTAGCACCAGTAGCAATTATTGACTCAAAACTTGGACCATTATACAAATGATAATTCTTACTTCTTACTTCTTCTAATAATTCACAAGCATCCCACTCAGTCATTTGAGTACCTTTTTTACTTTCCATTGTTGCAAAGAACTTACAAAGAGCAATACTATCGATTATGTGAAGTCGTTTCATATTTTCAATTTCTTTAGGTGAACGAATAGATTTTGTTATTTGGATATAGTCCAATTTCTGTACTAATTCTGCACCTTCTTCATAATCATAAATACGTTCTAATAGTTCAAGATTAGTAAATAGCTCTGAATAATAAATAGTTGGTCCAAACATAAATTTTTCTAATAACTGAAAGAAGCTATTATAAGGTAATACAATTACACCTGCCTCTTTTAATTGTTTAAATTCTTGAATTTCTTTTATCTCAAGTTCATTTCCGGTAAACAAGAAAGATCCATTAGGATTTAAGATAGCATATGCATATGCAACAGGTGAAAAAGGAATATCAGTTCCTCTAATATTAAATAACCATGCAATATCATCTAATGCAGTTAATATTAATGTACCTAAATGATATTCTTTTCTAACTAATTCTAGTTTTTCTTTAACTGTTAAACCAGAAGCGGTAAACTCTTCTACTTTTGAAAATGCTAATTTTTGTTGTTGAAGTTCATTAAAAATATCAAACTCTAACAACTTATTATTACCATTATCAAAGAACCGACCAAGCATTGGGAAAGAAGTAATTAATGGATTAAATCCGATGAGAAGTTCGTTTCCATCATTTAAAATAAATTGAGTAGGTGTGATTGTATCTAAATCACTTTGTCTCATTAATGTCCATTCTTTTGGTAATTCCTTTTCAGCTTGAATATAGTACCGAGAGTCTGTCCATAAAGCTGCTACGTCATGACTTACAACAATAGTTGCATTTGATCCAGTAAACCCACATAACCATTCAATATGTTTATAATATGGATGAACATATTCAGTCATATGGGGATCAGATAATTTAGAAAAATAATGGGTAATTCCTTTTTCTTTCATTTTCTCTCTAAAACATAAAAGTCTTTCATGAAACACTTCCATTGGTGTTTAGTTAAAAGATATTAGTTTAAAGTTTAACTTCAAAAAAATATTAATTTAGAGGAAATTTATAAATCAAAAAATAATAATTAATTTTTAACCATAAAAATCAATCAAATTCAGTGTATTTTCTTATTCCTTCGAATAATGTTATTTGTTTAATTATTAATGAATTTTTCTAGACAAATTGCAGAACCCAATTCCAATACAACTTAACAATGAGGTCTTTGTTTTTTCATCCCATTGTGCTTGAAAAGTGACACCTGTTAGTGTTTTGATAGTTCTCAAACATTCAACTGCTTGTTGTGTTAAATCACCACACCCTCATTTTACTTACATCTTTCAG